CTACGTCAAGTGGAAACACTTTTCAGGAGCATTCTTTAAATAAAATTTTTTTTTTCCCAGTTATTTTACAGAAACAATAAATTGCTGATGTAATTGCAGTGTATCCTTTTCTAATAGCAGTTGTCCAGATGCAGAGGTGCTTTAGATAATCCACTGATTGAGTTTTATTGGAATTTTGTAAATATTTTTTGCTTTCTTTATTTAAGAAATTATCGCTTCTTTTGCATCAGAAACTGGAACGATGAGGTAAGAGAACATTGCAAATAAAGGACTTAAGTTGCTGAACAGAGTTTTTGTGAAACGCACTGGATGTCCCAGGTACTTTGGGTTGTGTATGACGGCGTTAGAGTTGTGTTTTAGCTGATACTGACACTTAATCAGACGGTGCTGGCAAGGACTTAACCGGTCCGCATTAAATGCAGGTTTGATGTTACAAGAATTTAGTGCACACAGTATTAATTCACACAGCGAGCTCATCGATTCAGTTTATAGATTGTAAAGAAGAGCTCTGGCATTAGATCAGGGAGGGGAACCCAGAGGACCCTCATTTCCTCCCCTTAGATGTACCTAGCTGTCTTCAAGTGTGTTGCAGTGCATACAGCTGCCTAAACATGGCAGCTTCAATGTCACTATAGGGCTGCTGCTAATAGTTGTCTGTAGGTTTTTCTTTTGTTGTTCCCCTGAGATGACCTCTTCATGTGACTTGTTTTTGTCCAAACAGCAAAAAAACCAAAGATATTCTATCAACATTGATGTGTGACCCCGAACCAGCTGCAAGCAAAATCAGTTTGTAGTGAATTAATTATGGATATGCACCATGCAGACAAAATATCATGAAGAACTTGAAATCAGATTTTGACACAAGGTGTCTCCACAGGACACATCAGTGTTTAATGCCCCCACCTCATTTTAGTTATGATTTTGTGATTCCTGTTATATTTTTTTGTGACCTACACAATTTTTTGCTTCTTTTTTTCCAGGTCTTTCTTTACTGCGGTAAATTTTTGCACACAAATCCGCGGAGTGGATATAGGAATACAAAAAAAGCAAATCACAGTGTCTTGTAAGAAGAAAGCCGCAGGTTACTGTGTCTTGACGCTGGCTG